GAGGAAGTGAAGGGAAATCTCCCCCATGGGGACACCGATCAGAGAAGTGAAGGGAAATCTCCCTCCATGGGAACACCGATCAGAGAAAGTGAAGGGAAGTCTCCCCCTATGGGGACACCGATCAGAGGAAGTGAAGGGAAATCTCCCTCCATGGGGACACCAATCAGAGGAAGTGAAGGGGAATCTCCCCCATGGGGACACCGATCATAGGAAGTGAAGGGAAATCTCCCCCCATGGGAATACCGATCAGAGGAAGAGAAGGGAAATCTCCCCCCATGGGGATACCGATCAGAGGAAGTGAAGGGAAATCTCCCTCCATGGGGACACCGATCAGAGGAAGTGAAGGGAACTCTCCCCCCATGGGGACACCGATCAGAGGAAGTGAAGGGAACTCTCCCCCCATGGGGACACCGATCAGAGGAAGTGAAGGGAACTCTCCCCCATTGGGAAAACCGATCAGAGGAAGTGAAGGGAACTCTCCCCCCATGGGGACACCGATCAGAGGAAGTGAAGGGAACTCTCCCCCATTGGGAAAACCGATCAGAGGAAGTGAAGGGAAATCTCCCTCCATGGGGACACCGATCATAGGAAGTGAAGGGAAATCTCCCCCATGGGGACACCGATCAGAGGAAGTGAAGGGAAATCTCCCCCATGGGGACACTCAATCAGAGGAAGTGAAGGGAAATCTCCCCCCATGGGACACCAATCAGAGGAAGTGAAGGGAAATCTCCCCCATGGGGACACCAATCATAGGAAGTGAAGGGAAATCTCCCTCCATGGGGACACCAATCATAGGAAGTGAAATCTCCATGGGGACACCGATCAGAGGAAGTGAAGGGAAATCTCCCCCATGGGGACACCGATCAGTTTCTAGCCCTCAGAATGAGAAGAACGTTCCAGGCAGCAGAGGTGACGAACATGCGATCTATATTCTATATTCTATGACATGAAGAGAGCTCTGAGCTGTCACTGACCTGCTGCTCCTCTCCCGGCCGGGACACAACACTGGTCACCATGGAGACGGACTGAACCATTCCTGGACTCCCCTCACACACAACAGGAAAGAAAGAGGGGGGAGTTGCTCGTGTTTATTTTCATTTTTTTATTGTTTTGTAAGAAAATACGTTGGATTTAGTTTGCTTTCCTCATTTATTTCGGATCAAGTTCCCGTGCGCAGGCTGAGAGCACAGTGCGGTGTGAGACCAGAGAACGCTGCCAATGGTAATCCGGGCACCCCTGTGTGGGGAATGGTAGGGTCCAGGAAGGCGGGAAGAGCTGCGGGCGGTCACGTGACTCCTGTGACGTCCTCACTTCCCGGGATCGCCTCACGACGATCCACGGAGCTGTAAGAGGTATTGTACACGGCTGAGAGAGCGGAGGGGGGGATGTGTGGAAGCAGGCGCAGCGGGGGAGACGGCTCATAGGGGTCTTTTCGTCAAGGATGGGTGTTGGTGGGCGCAGGCAGAGTGACGGACGGCTATTAAGGGCCTTCCGCTCGGTATTGTTTCTATGACAGCGGTGTCACTTTCTCATCAACATGAAGATAGTGTGACGGAGCCGGACATATAGAGGTGTCACCTGACATCGTGTGAGCCGGAGAACGGACTGTATGTGTGGGAACAGGCAGTGTGACGGACAGCTGCCAGGGGTCCTTACACTCAGGACTGGGGCCCATGACGTTATTGTCACAGTTATCAACACGGAGATGTGCTGGAGTCTGCGCACTGAGAGCCCCCCCCCCCCCAGTGTATGGATAGTAATCAATAGTGACCCCCCCCCCCCCCCCAGTATCAGTGCAGCATCCAGCCCCCCCCCCCCTTCTCCAGTATCGGTGCAGCATCCAGCCCCCCCTTCTCCAGTATCGGTGCAGCATCCAGCCCCCCCCCCCCAGTATCAGTGCAGCATCCAGCCCCCCCCTTCCCCAGTATCGGTGCAGCATCCAGCCCCCCCCTTCCCCAGTATCGGTGTAGCATCCAGCCCCCCCCCCCCCAGTATCGGTGCAGCATCCAGCCCCCCCCCCCCCAGTATCGGTGCAGCATCCAGCCCCCCCCCCAGTATCGGTGCAGCATCCAGCCCCCCCCCCCCCAGTATCGGTGCAGCATCCAGCCCCCCCCCCCCAGTATCGGTGCAGCATCCAGATCCCCCCCCCCTTCCCCAGTATCAATGCAGCATCCAGCCCCCCCCTCCCTTAGTATCAGTGCAGCATCCAGCCTCCCCCCCCCCCTCCCTTAGTATCAGTGCAGCATCCAGCCCCCCCCCCCCCTCCCTTAGTATCAGTGCAGCATCCAGCAATCCCCCCCCCCCTCCCTTAGTATCAGTGCAGCATCCAGCCCCCCCTCCCTTAGTATCAGTGCAGCATCCAGCCCCCCCCCCCCTTCTTCAGTATCAATGCAGCATCCAGCCCCCCCCCCTCCCTTAGTATCAGTGCAGCATCCAGCCCCCCCTTCCCCAGTATCAGTGCAGCATCCAGCCCCCCCTTCCCCAGTATCAGTGCAGCATCCAGCCCCCCCTTCCCCAGTATCAGTGCAGCATCCAGCCCCCCCTTCCCCAGTATCAGTGCAGCATCCAGCCCCCCCCCCCAGTATCAGTGCAGCATCCAGCCCCCCCCCCCTCCCTTAGTATCAGTGCAGCATCCAGCCCCCCCCCCTCCCTTAGTATCAGTGCAGCATCCAGCCCCCCCCCTCCCTTAGTATCAGTGCAGCATCCAGCCCCCCCCCCTCCCTTAGTATCAGTGCAGCATCCAGCCCCCCCCCCCCCCCTTCCCCAGTATCAGTGTAGCATCCAGCCCCCCCCTCCCTTAGTATCAGTGCAGCATCCCCCCCCCCCCCCCCCTTCCCCAGTATCAGTGCAGCATCCAGCCCCCCCCCCCTTAGTGTCAGTGCAGCATCCAGATCCCCCCCTCCCTTAGTATCAGTGCAGCATCCAGCCCCCCCCCCTTAGTATCATCAGTGCAGCATCCAGCCCCCCCCCCCTTAGTATCAGTGCAGCATCCAGATCCCCCCCTCCCTTAGTATCAGTGCAGCATCCAGCCCCCCCCCCCTTAGTGTCAGTGCAGCATCCAGCCCCCCCCCCCTCCCTTAGTATCAGTGCAGCATCCAGCCCCCCCCCCCCCCCCCTTAGTGTCAGTGCAGCATCCAGATCCCCCCCCTCCCTTAGTATCAGTGCAGCATCCAGCCCCCCCCCCCCCTTAGTGTCAGTGCAGCATCCAGCCCCCCCCCCCCTCCCTTAGTATCAGTGCAGCATCCAGCCCCCCCCCCCCCAGTGTCAGTGCAGCATCCAGCCCCCCCCCCCCCCTTAGTGTCAGTGCAGCATCCAGCCCCCCCCCCTCCCTTAGTATCAGTGCAGCATCCAGCCCCCCCCTCCCCAGTATCAGTGCAGCATCCAGCCCCCCCCCCCCCCTCCCTTAGTATCAGTGCAGCATCCAGCTCCCCCCCTCCCCAGTATCAGTGCAGCATCCAGCCCCCCCCCCCCCTCCCTTAGTATCAGTGCAGCATCCAGCCCCCCCCCCCCCCCCTGTATCAGTGCAGCATCAGCATTTCTTTCGGTGGTATTTCATCCATTGTGCAGTTTTTTTGCGCTATAAAAAAACCCGACAATTTTGAGAAATAAACAATATTTTTGACATTTTGCTCTTAAACACGTCCAGTAAAAAAAAAAAATATATAAAAAAATCAAATTTCCTCATAAATTTGGACCAAAATGTATTCCGCTCCGTGTCTTTGCTAAAAAAAAAAAAATCCCAATCCATGTAAATTAATTGGTTTACATGAAAGCTATGGCGTCTACAAATGGCGGGATAGATACGGGGATTTTTTTTATTTTTTACTAGTAATGGTGGCGATCAGCGACTTATTGGGGGGGGGACTGCGGCAGACATTCTGGGGGGGGGGGGGGGGGGGGGGGGGGGGGAGAATTGACTTGGTGTCACTGACACCCCCAGTGACACCAATACAGTGATCGGTGCTAGTAAAGAGCACTGACACTGTACTAATAGCACTGAGTGGGAAGGGGTTAACATGAGGGGTGATCAAAGGGTTAACTGTGTGCTGGGGGGGCGGTGTCTGTTACTAGGGGACGGGGTCTGTGTGCTTCACTGTAATCACACTGCTCTGGATGGCTGTGCAGTGTGCCCGAGCTGACAGGGAGGAGGACTGTTAGTAAACAAAACAGTCCCCCCTCCCCGTCGGAGATCCACGGGGCACCGGTGGGTAATCACCGGCTGGGACCCGGTGATTGGCGGCGTGGGTAGGGCTCACGTGCGCCCCCTACCCAGAAATGCGTCATTACATGTATATATACGTGACTTTGCGCACCTCTGTAGCCGTATGTCTCCTATAGGGCGGCGAGGATGTGGCTAGAATGGGATAAAAAAAATTTAAAAAAATTCATTTTTTCAGAATAAAGGGTGACACCATGGATACGGAGCTCACACTGTGCCACATCCTAGGAAGACTGCCACTGAATAAACTTTATTGACACCTCATCATTTTGTTTTTTTTTAGCTACACTTCAGTAGTGGCCAGGGGCGGACTGATAACTCATGGGGCCCCCGGGCAATAGGGGATCATGGGGCCCCTGTGTCCTTGCCTAAACTCAAAAAAGCCTATGAAAAAGGTACCAGGGGCATCTCATGGGGCCCCCTACTGACCCCGGGCCCTCGGGCAGTGCTCCAGTTTCCAAGTGATCAGTCTGCCCCTGGTAGTGGCACTAAACCCCTCCTCCGCTTTACAGAAGGAGGCCGCCATCAGAGCCTCTGTGTGATCTGCCGTTGCCCCGCGGTGCTGCACATGCGATCCGTTACAACACCAGCCCTTTGCTGGCTTGGCAGTTCGGATGAGAGCACAAGCAACCATGACCGTTCTCATTCACAGCATGGAACTGTTTTGGGGAAGCGACGGGTTCAGTTCCACTCTAAGCCGGGTTGTGGGCTCAGAAATGTTCACTGAAATGTCTTCCTCCACAGACAGGATATCGGGAATAACCATCGCTTTCTACAGACGATGGAGGAAATGACAGCAGCGAGGTGTCCAGTGATGGGGGAAGTGACAGCAGAGCGTTCTCCAGCAGCAGACCAGGTAAGTGTCACTTCTCACTGTCAGATGGAAGATTCCCAGAATTATCACCCTCTGATCAGTCATCGGGCTTCTTCTGTGTCCCCATTGGACAGATTTCCTTTCATTTACCGTCCTATGGCCAAAACAGGAAGTGAAAGGAAATCCCTTCAAAGTGGGAGGAATAATGTGCCCCATCATTGGTGTCAGTGGGAGGAATAGTGCCCCATCATTGGTGTCAGTGGGAGGAATAGTGCCCCATCATTGGTATCAGTGGGAGGAATAGTGCCCCATCATTGGTATCAGTGGGAGGAATAGTGCCCCATCATTGGTGTCAGTGGGAGGAATAGTGCCCCATCATTGGTGTCAGTGGGAGGAATAGTGCCCCATCATTGGTGTCAGTGGGAGGAATAGTGCCCCATCATTGGTATCAGTGGGAGGAATAGTGCCCCATCATTGGTGTCAGTGGAAGGAATAGTGCCCCATCATTGGTGTCAGTGGGAGGAATAGTGCCCCATCATTGGTGTCAGTGGGAGGAATAGTGCCCCATCATTGGTGTCAGTGGGAGGAATAGTGCCCCATCATTGGTGTCAGTGGGAGGAATAGTGCCCCATCATTGGTGTCAGTGGAGGAATAGTGCCCCATCATTGGTGTCAGTAGGAGGAATAGTGCCCCATCATTGGTGTCAGTGGAGTGGGGAATAGTGCCCCATCATTGGTGTCAGTGGGAGGAATAGTGTCCCATCATTGGTATCAGTGGGAGGAATAGTGCCCCATCATTGGTGTCAGTGGGAGGAATAGTGCCCCATCATTGGTGTCAGTGGGAGGAATAGTGTCCCATCATTGGTATCAGTGGAGGAATTGGTGTCAGTGTCCCATCATTGGTGTCAGTGGGAGGAATAGTGCCCCATCATTGGTGTCAGTGGGATGAATAGTGCCCCATCATTGGTGTCAGTGGAGGAATAGCGCCCCATTCTGGTGCTCTGCGTTCTCCATCATTCAGGTCTCTCTCTTCCCGCAGATGTCCGGTTGTCTCTTCTGCACGGCAGTCGGTGAGGAGAAGCTGGAAGAAGCTCGTCAGAAATCCCAGAGAATGATTTTCGGCTCCAGCCGGGCGTTTCTGCCCTCGGATGTCCAGCCCCATCAATCCCATCCAAATTCCTACCAGGAGATTGTAGAGGGGAGGATGGCCGAGCAGTAAGTGTCTGTGGATGACAGAGAAGTCGTTGGTTGTCGGCTGTATATTTTCTCCTGTCTGGGTGGCGGTTGGAGATTTGCCCTCACTTCCTGTATGGTGGATCTGTTGTCATCAGAGCAGGAAATGAGGAAAATCTCCCTAATGGGGCCCCAGATAGCAGCAAAACCTACCGAGCTTCTAACCCTTCCCTGTTCCTGCCAGCATTGCCCGCCTGCCTAGTTCTCCCCTGCGGGACTACAGAACACCTCATATTAAGGGGTGGGGAGCGGTGGAGGTGTTCTGTAGTCCAGCAAATGAGAACTAGGCAGGTCTGACAACACTGCCTGCAATTTCAGTACAGCAGAGCCACGGTGTTGTCGGCTCAGACAAGACGTGAGGAGCTCATTGGATGTCTGGCAGATCGACAGGAAACAAAATGTGGGGGGAGGTGCATGTAGTGCAGAGATGTCCAAAATCAGTTCATTATTGTCCTTGATATTATTGATATTGATGTACATAAATGGCGGACGGGAGCGCTGCCAGAGCAGCAACGTCCACCCGCATTCATTGCCTGTATGCGCTCCCAGGGAGCGCACAGCACCGCAATTAGTGACCGCTGTGTCCTACCACCGATTGCTGTACGGGACCTCTGTGTGATTGGCCAATCAGTGATCACATGAAGAGTAGTAAGCAAGATGTCACTTCTGACATCATTGCTTACTACGTGTGAAATCTGTGAATGATCACAGAGGTCACATGGTACAGGGCTATTCACAACAGCCCTGTACCATGTGACAAGCTGTGACCAATCACAGCTCACACAGCATTTTCAATGGTTGCAGGAATGCATCCAGAGAGAAGGAGAAATGATTGGTTTTTCTGCCTTTATGGGTGTAAACGCAATCGGTGTAAAAAGAAAAATATCTTCTTCACCCCCCACAAGCAGTACAGTGTCACCATGGTGACTGCACTGCTAGGGTGACAGTATGTAAAAAAAAAAAAAAAAAAAAATTAATATAAAAATGTAAAAAAATTTTTTGAAAAATTATAATTTTTGATTATAAACTAATTTGAGGTGTTTAGTAAAAAAAAAAAAAAAAAAAAAAAAAAAAAAAAGAAACTGAATACATTTTGGACAAAATTTATAAAGAAAGATTATTTATTTGAAAAATTTTTTTTTTTTGTCTTTAGTTGTGATAGCGCTGAAAGCTGAAAATTGGCCTGGACAGGAAGGGGTTGAAAAGTGCCTGGACTGAAAGGGGGGGGGAGCGCCGGGACTGGAAAGGGGGGGGGGAAGCGCCGGGTCTTGAAGGGGGGGGGGGGGGGGAGCGCCGGGACTGGAAGGTGGGGGGGGAGTAGAGCGTCAGGACTGGAAGGGGGGGGGGGGGGGGAGAGCCGGACTGGAAGGGGGGGGGAAGAGCGTCGGGACTGGGGAAGGGGGGTAAAGCGCCGGGACTGGAAGGGGGGGGGGAAAGCGTCGGGACTGGAAGGGGGGTGGGGGGGGGAAAGCGTCAGGACTGGAAGGGGGTGGGGAAGCGTCGGGACTGGAAGGGGGGGAAAAGCGCCGGGACTGGAAGGTGGGGGGGAAGCGCCGGGACTGAAAGGGGGGGGGGGAAGCGCCGGGACTTGAAGGGGGGGGGGGGGTGGGAAGCGCCAGGACTTGAAGGGGGGGAAAGGGGGGGGGGGTAAGGGTCGACCCGTACTGGAAGGGGGGGGGAGAGCGTCGGGACTGGCGAAGGGGGGTAAGTGTCGGGACTGGAAGGGGGGTGGGGGGGGGTAAGTGTCGGGACTGTTTGGGGGGTGGGGGGGGGGGGGAAAAGCGTCGGGACTGGAAGGGGGGTGGGGGGGGGGGAAAGCGTCAGGGGGACTGGAAGGGGGGTGGGGGGGTAAGCGTCGGGACTGGAAGGGGGTGGAAGGGGGGGTGGGGGGGGGGGGGTGGGGTGAAAGCGTCGGGAACTGGAAGGGGGGGGATCTGGAAGGGGGGTGAGCGTCGGGACTGGAAGGGAGGTGTCAAGGGGGGGGGGGGTGAAAGCGTTGGAACTTGAAGTGGGGGTGGGGGGGGGTAAGCGTCGGACTGGAAGGGGGGGGGGGGGGGTGAAAGCGTCGGAACTGGAACGGGGGGGGTGGGGGGGGAAGCGTCGGACTGGAAGGGGGGGTGAAAGTAAAACTCAAACTTTTTAATTGGATGGGATAGGAGAGAGGTACAACCCCCGTCAGTTTTTGTCCCCATTGGGGGGATTTCCCACAGCCGGACAGGAAGTGAGAGAAAAATCCCTCCAAAGTTGTCACTAGAACTAGTGTCATCCCATTGGAAGATTTTCCCTCACTTCCTGTTTCTGGTGACAACCCAAAAAATTCGATATTTTCTTTCACTTTCAGTGATGCGGGCAAATAGAGAGGGTGAAGCGTCTCTAATGGAGACACAGACCACAATAAAAACCCGACAGAGGGTCTGGGGGGGGAAGCATCGGGGAAAAAAAAAACGTACCTATAGTTATACTCGAAGCTAAGCAATCAGATCATCTGAAAGGAAACACGTCTCCAATGGAAGGGGGAAGGCGGAGTCGGCCATCGCTGTTCTCCTGAAATGCCTGCCGCCTGGCTGTGATTCTGGACCTTCTAAGCGTCCCATTCTTGAAGCTACGAGTGTGTGGGGGCCGGCGCTCCTGGTCACAGGGGATTGGGAGAACGCCGTCATCGCCCTTCACCAAAGCCATCAATCTGTGTCCAGAGAAGGTACTGATGTCTGTGGGGCTGTGTTGTGTCTGTGATGAGGTGTGTATTTGTGTTCTCTGTGCCGATCAGCCAGAACTTTATGACCACACCTAATATCGAGTAGTTTCCCATCATTTTTGCCACCAAAAGCAAGCCACGACCATAACGCTGCATGGACGATGAAAATCCCCGACCCTCTGAAGGTACACACTTGGGGTCTGGATCCCCAGGAGCAGATCCTTTTAACTTCCTGAAGTCTTGGTGACAACCCAAAATTGGACGCGGACTTGTGTTTCACAATCCCACATCTGCAGATATGCTCAGTGATTGAGATCTGGCAATTTGGGTGGCCAAGTCTCTAATTGGTGACACAAACTCGAGAATTCTGTTAAGCCTTTGAACTATTTCTGCAGTGTGGCGGGGCGCATTCTCCTGCTTGAAAAACGGCCATAGTTATACTACGTCAAGCTAACCAATTGGTGTCAGTCTGAAAGGAACCCCGTCTCCAATTGGCGTGTCAGTGGGGGAGTGCGGCCATTGGTGTCTGTGGGAAATAGCCTTGCGCCATCCTTGATTCTGACCTTCTAATCACCCATTCCTTGGGAGGAAAATACGAGCGCCCAGTCATGCCTGGTTCACATTGGGAGAAAGTGTCCCTTCATGGTGTCAGTGGGAGAATAGTGCCCATCATTGGTGTGTGGGAGAATAATGCCTCCACTGATGTCTGTGGGAGGAATAGTGCCCCATCATTGGTGTCAGTGGGAGGTGAATAGTGCCCCAATCTGGTGTCAGTGGCCAGAATAGTGACCCCCATCATTGGTGAGTCAGTTTAGTGCCCCAATCATTGGTGTCAGTGGGAGGAATAGTGCCCCACCCATCGCGCGGCAGTGGGAGGAATACTGCCCGACTTGGTGTCAGTGGGAGGAATAGTGCCCCGTCATTGGTGTCAGTGGGAGGAATAGTGCCCCCGTATTTGTCGAAGTGGGATGGAAATCGGTGCGTCATTGTGTCCAACACATGGGAGGGAATAGTGCTCATCATTGGTATCTGGAGAATTTGGAGGCAAGTCAAGTGTCCCGTCAAATTGGTTCAGTTCCATTGAACTAGTTTCTGTCATTGTGGTCAGTGGGCGGAATATCCTGCCCGTGAAAAAAGTGTCACTGGGGGAATAGTGCCCCATCATTGGTGTCAGTGGGAGGAATAGTGCCCCATCATTGGTGTCAGTGGGAGGAATAGTGCCCCATTCCATTGGTGTCAGTGGAGGTAAATAGTGCCCCATCATTGGTGTCAGTGGATGGAATAGTGCCCCATCATTGTGTCAGTGGGAGGAATAGTGCCCCATCATTGGTGTCAGTGGGAGGAATAGTGCCCCATCATTGGTGTCAGTGGGAGGAATAGTGCCCCATCATTGGTGTCAGTGGAGGAATAGCATGCCCCATCATTGGTGTCAGTGGAGGAATAGTGCCCCATCATTGGTGTCAGTGGGAGGAATAGTGCCCCATCATTGGTGTCAGTGGAGGAATAGTGCCCCATCATTGGTGTCAGTGGGAGGAATAGTGCCCCATCATTGGTGTCAGTGGGAGAATTAGTGCCCATCCTTGGTATCAGTGGAGGAATAGTGCCCCATCATTGGTGTCAGTGGGAGGAATAGTGCCCCATCATTGGGTGTCAGTGGGAGGAATAGTGCCCCCATCATTGGTGTCAGTGGGAGGAATAGTGCCCCATCATTGGTGTCAGTGGGAGGAATAGTGCCCCATCATTGGTGGTCAGTGGGGAAGAATAGTGCCCCGTCATTGGTGTCAGTGGGAGGAATAGTGCCCCATCATTGGTGTCAGTGGAGGAATAGTGCTCCCATCATTGGTGTCAGTGGGAGGAATAGTGCCCCATCATTGGTGTCAGTGGGAGGAATAGTGCCCCATCATTGGTGTCAGTGGGAGGAATAGTGCCCCATCATTGGTGTCAGTGGGAGGAATAGTGCCCCGTCATTGGTGTCAGTGGGAGGAATAATGCCCCGTCATTGGTATCAGTGGGAGGAATAGTGCCCCATCATTGATATCAGTGGGAGGAATAGTGCCCATCATTGGTGTCAGTGGGCAGGAATAGTGCCCCATCATTGGTGTCAGTGGGAGGAATAGTGCCCCATCATTGGTTTGTCAGTGGGAGGAATAGTGCCCCGTCATTCGGGTATCAGTGGAGGAATTAGAGCTCCCTATTGCTGGGACCAACATCCCCCCACCTCCCCTATGAAGAGAGCCTGACATTGACCAACAACACCCCACCCGAGAAACCTTACACTTCCACTGCCCCCCATACACTGGCAACCTCCCACCTACCCTGTCGAGAGACACCATGACAGCTCCGGAGGTCCCCGGGAACAAGAGTCGGGTTCTGCATACGCCATCAATCAGCCTCTCTCAGATCACACCAGGTCCCCATGCTGCGTGTGTCCTTTCTCTTCCATCCCTTCTTTTGGGGGGGGGCAGTGCTGCCCCCCTGAAAAATGCCGCCCTAGGCAAATGCCTTGTTTGCCCTGTGGTAAGCACAGCCCTGGATGTGGCTCAGGAACACTTCATTCCAGCTGTGTGTACATCAGGCTTTCTTCCTAGGCCTCCAGCTTCAATAATCTCAGTTCAGGCTTTGAAATCCTTCACATGACCTGTACACGGGCTGTAGAAGCAGGCATGTAAACCAGCCAGTTTTCACATATGGTGACCCGTATACTGGCCGGCACCTAGAGAGTGCAAACATGTAGCAGGAGGCTAGGTGTGCGGAGGAGTTGGGCAATCGTGCACATCGGCCAAGTCCATAGGAACTCCTGTAGGAACAGTCATTGGCAAAGGACCACCTTCCGCTGGTGGTGTCAGCCCTCCCAGCAAGCCGCCGTCTGTCTGCCACCATGCTCAGCAGCCACCAGCAGGGTCACCAACGCAGGCGACAGTCCGGGAGCTGAGATCACGTTTGGGGAATAAAGGCGTGCGGGGGGCAAGGGCTGGAGGGAGTCTCACCACCGACACGTGTCTGGGGGCTTTTCAAGGTGTCAGATCTCATGTCATGGCGCTGACTCCAGTCCTGAAGATGTATTCCACAGCTTAATAAATGGGCAGCACAGCGGCTAAGTGGTCAGCACTTCCACCTGGCAGTACTCGGGTTGTCAGTTCCAATCCCAACAACAGCACCACCTGTCTGGAGTTTGCATGTTCTCTCCTGTGCCTGCGTGGGCTTTCTCCGGGTAGTCCGGTTTCCTCCCACACTCCGAAGACATGCTGGGTAGGTGAATTAGCTCCTGTCTGCATTGTCCCTAGTATGTGTATGTATGAATGTGAGTTAGGGACCTTAGATTGTACGCCCCTTGAGGGTTAGGGACCTTTAGATTGTAACTCCCCTTGAGGGTTAGGGACCTTAGATTGTACGCCCCTCGAGGGTTAGGGACCTTAGATTGTACACACTCTTGAGGGTTAGGGACCTTAGATTGTACGCCCCTTGAGGGTTAGGGACCTTAGATTGTACACTCACCCTTGAGGGTTAGGGACCTTAGATTGTACGCCCCTTGAGGGTTAGGGACCTTAGATTGTACGCTCCTCGGGGGTTAGGGACCTTAGATTGTACGCTCCTCGGGGGTTAGGGACCTTAGATTGTACGCTCCTCGGGGGTTAGGGAACCTTAGAATTGGTACGCCCCCTACAGGGGGTTAGGGACCTTAGATTGTACGCCCCTCGAGGGTTAGGGACCTTAGATTGTACGCTCCTCGGGGTTAGGGACCTTAGATTGTACGCTTCCTCGGGGGTTAGGGACCTTAGATTGTACGCTCCTCGGGGGTTAGGGACCTTAGATTGTACGCTCCTCGGGGTTAGGGACCTTAGATTGTACGCTCCTCGGGGGTTAGGGACCTTAGATTGTACGCATCCTTGAGGGTTAGGGACTGATGTGGGCAGCACAGCGGCTAAGTGGTTAGCACTTCCACTTGGCAGCACTAGGGTTGTCGGTTCCAATCCCAAAAAATGGCACCACCTGCCTGGAGTTTGCATGTTCTCCCTGTGCCTGTGTGGGTTTCCTCCAGGTACTCTAGTTTCCTCATCCTTCACACTTCAACTCCAAAGACATGCTGGTGGTGCATTGGCTCCTGTCTAAATTGTCCCTAGTATGTGTATGTATGAATGTGAGTTGGGGACCTTAGTACGCTCCTCGGAGGGCGGGGGGACTGATGTGAATGTATAATATATATATATATGTATGTAATGCTTTAAAATTGACGGCGCTATAGAAGTATCTGAAATAATAAAGTATAAACCTGTTTTATTATTTTTTTTTTTTCATGTTTGGGTTTCCAATCACTTCAATCAGAAGGCAGATAATTACCCTTCGGGGGCGGGGACACTCCTCAGGGGCGGGGACTGATGTGAATGTACAATGCAGGGGCGGACTGGACCAATTTCGAAAATCGGGCACTTCTCCTGGGGTCAGTAGGGGGCTCCATGAGATGCCCCCTGGTACCTTTTTCGATAGGCTTTTTTTGAGTTTGGGCAAGGGACACAGGGCCCCATGATCCCCTATTGCCCGGGGTCAGTAGGGGGCCCCATGAGAGATGCCCTGGTACCTATTTTTTTTCATAGGCTTTTTTTTGAGTTTGGGCAAGGACACTGGGGCCCCCATGATTCCCTATTGCCCGGGGTCAGTAGGGGGCCCCATGAGATGCCCCTGGTACCTTTTTTTTCATAGGCTTTTTTGTGAGTTTGGGCACAGGGGCCCCCATGATCCCCTATTGCCCGGGGTCAGTAGGGGGCCCCCATGGTTACCTTTTTTTCATAGGCTTTTTTAGTTTGGCCGAGGGGCCCCCATGATTTCACCCATTGCCCGAGGGGGTCAGTAGGGGGGGCTCCATGAGATGACCCTGGTACCTTTTTCATAGGCTTTTTTGAGTTTGGGCAAGGACACGGGCCCCATGATCCCCTATTGCCTGGGGGCCCCATGAGTTGTCAGTCCGCCCTGGAACAATGTAGATGTAAAGCGCTGTGTATATTGACGGCGTGATATAAGTACCTGAAATTAATAAAACGTTCACAAATGTTCCCACCTTCACTTCAGCAATGTACTCCAAGCACCGTACTGGCGTCTCACAGCCCCCCCCCCACCCCCCCCCCCACCAAAAAAATGGGGTTCACAGGCTCGTCCCTCCATAGGTGCTCTGCTGGGTGCAGTGGTTCCAGAGAGGGTCCCGTATACTCCATTGGCAGATGAATGGCCAAACAGAGAAGAAATTGGATCTTGCAGCACCACCGATCTCACTTGGGGGGGGGGGGGGTTCACATTTCCCTCCATACATGTATAAGGACCCCCCCCCCCTTGTTATATTGCAGATGGAGTTGTATGTCAGGCGGGCCGAAGCCTTCCTCCAGCTGGGTGACTTCCAGTCTGCAGCCGTCAACCTACAGAAAGCCTGTTCTGGTTCCGATCCGTCGGGGGAGCACATAGAGCTGCTGGCCACCACATACTACCTGCAGGTGAGAGCCGACCCGTCATGGCTGCCGGATGGATTGTGTTCGGTTCTGTGTGATGGAATCTCCGCAGACATATGGGGGGGGGGGGGGGGGGGGATGTACTAAAAGTGGAGGGTGCAAAATCTGGTGCAGCTCTGCATAGCAACCAATCGGCTTCCGTTTTTGGTTTTTTCTTAAGGGGGGAGGGGCAGAGGACCCTACCGTGGGGTGGAGGGGGGCAGTGGACACTATAGTGGTGGGGGGGGGGGGGACGGGCAGATGATGTGAAGGGGGATGCAAACTGCTATGAGGAGTTAGAGGGGGTTGTTAGAGGACACTACTGCGAGGGGATGATGTGAAGGGGAGCGGGACGACACTAGTGGGGGCGGACGACACTAGCGGGGGCGACGACGACACTAGCGGGGGCGGACGACACTAGTGGGGGGGCGGACGACACTAGCGGGGGCGGGGCATAGGACATTATCCTGTTTTTATTGGGGGCTCGATACTTATTTTTGTTAAAGGATGCCCCTCCCCCCTTCCATGTTGTCCAGGTCCCGCCGTGTATCCTCCATCAGATGCTGATGACAAACAATCCTATCATCCGCTCTCAGCACACGATGGTCATAGGCGCTTATATGCTAATGTTCCGCACAGCAGGTTCACTTTCTAGGAATGTAATGATTGGATGAACGGACTTTCTGGGCACAGACACCCAGACACACATTGGTACAATCCGTATTCCTTTGACATTTATTCACACACAGTGGGGCAAACAAGTATTTAGTCACCACCAATGGTACAAGTTCTTCCACTTACAAAGATGAGAGAGGCCTGTAATTGGCATCATAGGTAGACCTCAACTATGAGAGACAAAATGAGAAAACAAATCCAGACACAATCACATTGGCTGATTTGGAAAGAATTTATTTGCAAATTATGGTGGAAAATAAGTATTTGGTGAATATGAAAAGTTCATGTCAATACTTTGTTATATATCCTTTGTTGGCAATGACAGAGGTCAGACGTTTCCTGTAAGTCTTCACAAGGTTGGCACACACTGTTGCTGGTATGTTGGCCCGTCCTCCATGCAGATCTCCTCTAGAGCAGTGATGTTTTGGGGCTGTTGCTGGGCAACACAGACTTTCAACTCCCTCCAAAGGTTTTCTATGGGGTTGAGATCTGGAGACTGGCTAGGCCACTCCAGGACCTTGAAATGCTTCTTACGAAGCCACTCCTTCGTTGCCCGGGCGGTATGTTTTGGATCATTGTCATGTTGGAAGACCCAGCCACGTTTCATCTTCAATGCCCTTGCTGATGGAAGGAGGTTTGCACTCAAAATCTCACGATACATGGCCCCATTCATTCTGTCCTGTACATGGATCAGTCGTCCTGGTCCCTTTGCGGAGGAACAGCCCCAAAGCATGATGTTGCCACCCCTCATGCTTCACAGTAGGTATGGTGTTCTTTGGATGCAACTCAGCATTCTCTCTCCTCCAAACACGATGAGTTGTGTTTCTACCAAACAGTTGTATTTTGGTTTCATCTGACCATATGACATTCTCCCAATCCTCTTCTGGATCATCCAAATGCTCTCTAGCAAACTTCAGACGGGCCCCGACATGTACTGGCTTAAGCAGGGGGACACGTCTGGCACTGCAGGATCTGAGTCCCTGGCGGCGTAGTGTGTTACTGTGGTAGCCTTTGTTACGTTGGTCCCAGCTCTCTGCAGGTCATTCACTAGGTCCCCCCGTGTGGTCCTGGGATTTTTGCTCACCGTTCTTGTGATCATTTTGACCCCACGGGGTGAGATCTTGTGTGGGGCCCCAGATTGAGGGAGATTATCAGTGGTCTTGTATGTCTTCCATTTTCTAATTATTGCTCCCACAGTTGATTTGTTCACACCAAGCTGCTTGCCTATTGCAGATTCAGTCTTCCCAGCCTGGTGCAGGTCTACAATTTTGTTTCTGGTGTCCTTCGACGGCTCTTTGGTCTTCACCATAGTGGAGTTTGGAGTGTGACTGTTTAGGTTGTGGACAGGTGTCTTTTATACTGATAACAAGTTCAAACAGGTGCCATTGATACAGGTAATGAGTGCAGGACAGAGGAGCCTCTTAAAGAAGAAGGTACAGGTCTGTGAGAGCCAGAAATCTTGCTTGTTTGTAGGTCGACCAAATACTTATTTTCCACCATAATTTGCAAATCAATTCTTTCCAGATCAGCCAATGAGATTGTCTGGATTTGTTTTCTCATTTTGTCTCTCATAGTTGAGGTCTCCCTATGATGCCAATTACAGGCCTCTCTCATCTTTGTAAGTGGGAGAACTTGTACCATTGGTGGGGACTAAATACTTTTTTGCCCCACTGTATAAACGTGAAATAATAGACCAGCCGTACAGAGCCCCCGCCATGAATGTCCCAGAGCCCACCATATGTTGGAGAACCAACCAGCGATGTCAGGTAGACATAACCACCAGGATAATCCTAATGGGGGGGGGGGGGGGGGGGGACATTCTAGCGCTGGAGAATTTAGGTCCCCGGTGGGGCGAGAAATCATCCAGGGGGGGCGCAATACATGCAGAGTGGGCCAGAACCCAAATTCCTAGTACTTGTATGACGTTGTTGTATTAGTCGTGTGTTCATGTGGTTGTGCCCCCCGCCCTGACCTTGAGGTGCCGTCACTCTGCAGGGACAGAGCCTGTTGGAGCAGAAGTGTCCTATGGATGCCATGGAGTGCTTCACCCGAGCAGCCGAGCTGCAGCCGCAGAACAGACATTATCGCATGCACAGGTGAGACCGCAGGGGGGCGGGTGTACTAAAGGCAAACAGACTGCGCACTTTGCAAGGGCAGCTGCCGCAGAGCTTCGTCAATGAGGTGAGGTGCAGAGAATACCCAATCACGTGCAAGGAAGATAAACCGCTTTTTTTTTTTTTTTTTTTTTTTTGCTCACTCGTGATTGGATGAGGGAAGTCAGCAGAGCGTCCCTTCGTTTACTGAGATCAGAGCAGCTGCACTCGCAAAGTGCACAGTCTGTTTGCCTTTAGTAAATCAACCCCGGTGGACCTTTATGTGTATACAATGTGTATTTACAGCGTACCTTCGAAATCCCCTCCCCCCCCCGTTACATCCCTATTGCTTTTTTTTTTTTTTTTTTTAATGAAAAGGTTTTAGCCCCGCCTCCTATGCATGTCACTGGCCTAGCGACAAATGACACGCACTGTGCCTCCTGGGCTATGCATGTCGCGTGTGCGCAGGGGCCTGGTCGCGGGTGCGCAGGGGCCTGGTCGCGGGTGCGCAGGGGGCCTGGTCGCGGGTGCGCAGGGGCCTGGTCGCGGGTGCGCAGGGGCCTGGTCGCGGGTGCGCAGGGGCCTGGTCGCGGGGGCCTGGTCGCGGGGTGCGCAGGGGCCTGGTCGCGCAGGGGCCTGGTCGCGCAGGGGGGCCTGGTCGCGCAGGGGCCTGTCGCGCAGGGGCCTGGTCGCGCAGGGGCCTGGTCGCGCAGGGGCCTGGTCGCGCAGGGGGCCTGGTCGCGCAGGGGCCTGGTCGCGCAGGGGCCTGGTCGCGGGCCCGCAGGGGCCTGGGCGCGCAGGGGCCTGGTCGCGGGGCCCGCAGAGTCCTGGTCATTCACAGAGGAGGGGGTGGGTCCTGCAACGCATCCTTGGGAGGCCTGAGCTGCCAAGTTCTTGATGACATCACACAACAACATGGCGGCTCGGGACCCGAGGAAGAGGATCTCTCGGCAGCACAAGGCGGCTGCATCCATTGGGGAGGTGAAAGTCTGAACTGTGGAGAACCCACAGCAAGGTAAACGGGTTAAAAAAAAAAAAAGGGGGGGGGGGGGGGAGGTGAAGGTCCGCTTTACAGGTATGTAACCCCTAAAAACGAAGGGATAGTTCCCTCCTGTCCTGCACACTTCCTGATCTCTCTGATCTCAATCTGCACAATACTTGGTGTCAGATGAGGCGAGTGGGTGAGGTTCAGTAGTTTAGCAAAAGACAACTGGGCAGGGCTGACACCTCTGTCACCAAAAACGCTGTGTTGTCAGCAGCAAAGTGCACTTCTGGCAGATCAGCGGATCTTTTCCTGGGCTTGTTGGATCTTATGTATCGAATATGTACTGTATAGGTTTTTGTTTTTTACATTTTTTTTTTCCCCGCCATCCCCTCTCCCCAGCAGGGTGCCTATTGGGGTCTATGTATGAAAAAAATTGCTGGAGGAATTTTAACCGCTTCCTGACCGCCCTATAGCAGGACTACTGCTACAGGGCGGCAGGGCTGCGCAAAACCGTGTGTGTGGTTTTTGTATTTCTGGGTAGGGGGCGTGTCTGCGCCACCTGACCCGCGCCACCATTGGCAGCTACATCTGTCGATCACCAGGTCCCAGACGTTGATTTCCCACCGACACCCTGCGATCGCTGAGGAACAGTGACAGGGGAGAGGTCTGTATGTAAACAATACAGATCTCTCTCCTGTCAGCAAGGACATGCTGCTTTGTATTTCTCTGCACAGCATGCTTACACAGTAAAACGCACACAGTTAACCCTTTGATCACCCCACATGTTAACCCCTTCCTGTCCAGTGTCACTAGTACAGCGTCAGGGCTTTTTATTACCACTGAACACTGTATTGGTGTCACTGGGGATGTCCGTTTTTCGGGACACCCTTGAGGGATCCAGTAAGGTCTCCATTAGTCTGACATCTGCAGATTCTTTGCAAAAAAGAAAAAAAAAAAACCCAAAACAACCGTTCAGCAAAGACATGGAGCCGAATACATTAAAATTTTTTATTTTTTTACCTGGACATGTTTTATAGCAAAAAGTAAAAAAAAAAAATTTTTTTTTTTTTTTTTTTTTCAAAATTGTTGGTCTTTTTTTGTTTATAGCGCACATTTAGCGTTGCACGACCGCGCAATTGTCAGCTAAAGTATCTCAAAAAATGTCCTGGTCAGGAAGGAGGGGAGAGGAAAATCCTCTGGAGGGCGAGTGGTTAAAAAAAATGAATTCTGTCCATAATGTGCCTAATAAGTTGGTTTCCTATTACCGTCGGTTCCCTCTAGTGGCCATAATGCAGTATTTCTCCTGAAATACCTTTTTTAGTCAGAAAAAAAAATACTGCATTATGGCCACTAGATGGAGCTGATGATCATAGGAAATCGGTGGGGGGAAGCAAAAATGTACTGTCAGAATCTACCAATGCTGTGCGAATGTTTTGTAACATTCGCCCAACTAATATATATTTTTTTTCATAAATCGACCCCTAAATGTATTGAATAATGAACGTGTTGATTGGTGTGGTTTTTTTTTTTTTTTTTTTTTTTTTTTGTTTTCTTGCTTTTTGTTGTTTTTTTTGTTTTTTTGTTTTTTTTTTTGTTTTGTGTTTTTTTTTTTTTTTTTTTTTTGCTTTTATTGTTGTTTTTTGGTTTTGTTTTTTTGTTTTGCTTTTATTGTTTGTATTGTTTGTTTTTTGGTTTTGTTTTTTTGTTTTTTTTTTGGTTTTGTTTTTTTTTTTTTGGTTTTATTTTTTTTTTTTTGTTTTTTTTTTTTGGTTTTATTGTTTTGTTTTTTTTTGTTTTTTTTTGTGGTTTTGTTTTGTTTTTGTTTTTTTTTTATCTGCATGGAATTGAATGAACCATTGAGACTGCCATTACTGACCTCCTAAGAATGCTAGTTGCCTGGCTGTCTCTGGCTTCAGTGCTTTCCACACCAAGATGTCCACACCGGATCTGCATTCCAGGCATTGACCCAGAAAGTCCTGAAGGTTCCGGATGACGGTGACAGCCAGGAAACCAGCATTTCCAGAAGGAGATGACCGTCGTGGCAGCCTCCAGGTTCCCTACCTGGACTGGTGTCGGGGGGGGGGGGGGGGGATCAGGTGTATACAGTAGCGCCCCCTCCTGGCTGGCATTGCGAATAACATTTGTTTCCTGTATCTTTTTGCTCCCGGTCAGTATCTGCTGCCTGGCGGCTCTGGGAAGATATGCGGAATGCCTCGGCCTTCTCAATAAGCAGCTGGAAGAGGAAGGCGGGAATCCTGATTTGTACATTGTGCGGGCCAGGCTCTATGACCACCTCAACAAGGTATTCCTTCATCGAGCAGCGGCTCTGTCCGTGGGAACCGACACTTCCTGATATTTGGGGCTCCCAGAGCTCTAGCAGTTGTGGAAAAATGAAGAAAAAATTTGTGATTCTAAAAAAAAAAAAAAAAAAGTTACTTACCTGCTCTGTGTAATGAGAGTGCACAGAGCAGCCCCCGATACTCTTCTGCTGGCGGTCCTGGCTCCTCCCACCTGCTGAGGGCTCACAAGCCGCACTCACAGCTTCGCGGCTCGGCCCCCACTCTCTCCTCATTGGTTTGCTGGCTGTGATTCATAGCAGGCTCCTGCTGCTGTGTGAGCCAATGAGGAGAGAGACCCGGGAGAGCCTCTGCTCTCATGCACATTGCTGGATTGAGATTGGGGTGGGGGGGGGGGGGTGCTGCACCCTGTAGGTTTGTTACCTTCATGCATAGACTGCCACCTTGAACCTTTAGAGCCACATTATAGATGTGATGGTACCTGGTTCAGTCTCTCCTCCTTCTATCTGCTTGAGCCGGGTTCACACTATGTGGCGCCGGACACACAGGAATCACACCGCAGTATGAAGTTCAGTTATAAAGCTTGTCTGAGAGTTCAGAAATAAAGGGGCGGAGAGCTGATGTTACACTTTGCAGATCTCAGTGAGCTGATTGGAGGGAGGAGGCACACCCCCCCTTCCTCTCCACACAGCTCACAGGAACAGAGCTCAGGTTGTCAATCTGCTAGAAGTGTCCCCCTGTCACCATTTATCTCTTGGTGTCAGGAAAACTTGTCAGAAGTGAGTTATGCTGATAGAGGAAGGAGGCAGCAGACAGAAATGACACTTAGTGCTCTGGAGTGAGGCAAGGACACACTATAGAGGGATGTGCTTTGTTCCTATTTCTGGTCTGGGATTTTAAAGTAGTAGTAAATCCCAAACGTGTCGTTTGCATGCGCTCTCTGTGCCTGCGTGGGTTTCGTATGGGAATTCCAACTTCTTCCCGAAGACATGCTGATTGGGTAATTGGCCCTAGCATGCGTGTGAAACGGGGACCAATCATAGGCGCTGGAGGTATTCCCCACCATACAGCCTCACATACATAAGGGGCGTGTTCACATGCAGCTGAGGGGCGGGGAATGCCTCGGTCACCTACGATTGGCTGTTGGCTTTGACATCTTCCTGGTGGGCTAGCTCGGGCATGTCTGAACCCACCTGACCTCGTCACTGATGGGGCCCTTAGCAAAGCACAACATTGTCTTGGCTTTAGAAATGCCTGTAATAAATCTATAATCCTGTGACTTCCAGACCACGCTGACCTATCAGGACACTCAGAGGGCTCTGTTCCTGGACCCACAGCACCAGGAAGCCATAAAAATGAAAGCCAAGCTGGTAGCAAAAGCAGAAGAGGCCAAGGATAAAGCGGTGAATTGTGCCGTGCAGGGCCAGCTACACGACGCCTTGCAGAAGATCTCTTATGCCATAGAGAACAACCCGTCGGCAGGCGGATATCACATCTTCCGGTACTCTGTCTCCATATATAATGTAATGAAAGGATTGTGAACGTGATCTGAATGGTTACCGGAAGGTAAAGCCCCCCCCATTTCATCCCGCGCGCCGGGGGCCCCCCATTTCATCCCGCGCCGGGCCCCATTCATTCATGGTGTTCCCTCAGAGTACGCCTTACCCACATTAGAAAAGTGAGGATTTCCTGTCCTATCGGGAACATCGAGAAATGATTCCGAAGCAGAACTCTGAAAAACGTTCATTTTTTTTTTTTTTTTTTTTCAGACTTCCTGTGCCTACAGCCTATACAGCTATATATTGTATCTGCAGCGTGAGATTACCGAAGGCACTGCAACTCCTGACTGTTAAGCCGACCATAGATGGATCGATCGGTTTCGGCAGGGACCAGCCAACATTCGATCCATCTATGTGAAGTTAATCCATCGATCGACTTCAGTACAACCAGCCTGTCACATTTTTCTCCCTGCGGGCAGCTATAGCCGTTAGCGGTGATCATTGTGTTCTGCCGGCAGGGAGGGCTCCCCGCCAGCAGGACACAGTACTGTTGAGGGAGGGATACCCCCATCAACATGGTTAGAATGTAGCAGTTTTTTTTTTTTTTTTTTTTCCCCCTGGCAACCTATGGTGGAAGGAGTGAAAATTGAATTGAGAATTGAAAATCTCTGGGTTACTTTAGTCCAGTGTTTCTCAACTCCAGTCCTCGTGGACCCCCAACAGGTCATGTTTTCAGGATTTCCATTATTTTGCACAGGCGATTTGATCAGTTTCACTGCCTTCGTAATTACCACAGCTGTTTCATCTGAGGGAAATCCTGAAAACATGACCTGTCCCAGATTTGGTGATGTCACTGCTGTTCTGGTTTCCTGTTCTCCTTGCTGGAGGGGAAGCTGTACCTGAGGGCCTGCAGTGCAAGGATCCCCCTGCTTTTTTTTTTTTTTTTTTTTTTTTTTTTTTATAGTATTGATTCGTTCTGTGGATGTGGGGTGTCTGCATCTTTCCTGGACATCAGGGGGCAGCACTGACATGAGGAAGCAAAGCTCTTCCTCCACCAAGATGGCCGCCTTCTGAGAACAAGTCATTAATGGAGTCCAAAAACAGATGCAGGAAGACCACAGGCAATAGCGGGGACTAGCCTTCTGCCCTTGGCAGCCTCAGTGCATGTCCTTGTAATAACAAACATACAAAATGTTGATATGTAACCGTTTTTATTCCGTTCCGTATCTCACCTGTCAGGGGCATCGTGTACAGGAAGATGCAGGATTTCAGCCCAGCGGTGGAAGACTTTGTACAGGCCATGCAGCTTTGTAATGCAGACGGCGTACCTGACTTGCAGCTGCACTGGGAGGCCGAGAAGCAGCTGATCCTCACCTACAATGACTTCGCTGTGCATTGTTACATGAAAGGCTTCTACCGGGATGGCGTGCTGTTACTGAACAAGGCCCTAAAAGGGGAAAAAACCAAGAAAGAGCTTTACATGAACCGAGGAGGTGAGTGACTGACAGCCGGTACAGGGCTACATTCAAAGTGGGGTGCCCCTAGGGGGCGGTAATAGTGCCCTCTCCGCCTCCAGTGACCTGTGTGGTTGGTAAGGGTGTCATATGGGTATTGGCAAGGAATGGTTCTAATTGAGTGAACCTGTCGGGAGCATGAATAGATTCCTGACCGATCATAATATACAGCCCTGGTGGCCCTTCGGTGATGTCGGGGCTACAGTTGGGGCCCCTATAGCTCACAAGTTGACAACCATTGATATACAGTGCTAGTGTGGGCAGCATAGAGGCTAAGTGGTTAGCACTTGCCGCCTGGCAGTACTCAGGTCGTCGGTTCGAATCCCAGCCACGGCACCACCTGCCTGGAGTTTGCATGTTCTCCCTGTGCCTGCCTGGCGTTTGCATGTTCTCCCTGTGCCTGCCTGGAGTTTGCATGTTCTCCCTGTGCCTGCCTGGCGTTTGCATGTTCTCCCTGTGCCTGTGTGTTTCCTCCGGTTTCCTCCAACACTCATGACATGCTGGTAGGTTAATTGGCTCCTATCTAAATTGGCCCTAGTTTGTATGAATGTGAGTTAGAGACCTTAGATTGTGCGCTCCTCGGGGGCGGGGACTGATGTGAATGTAATTAATATATATATATTAATTAGTGTAAAAGTGCTGAGTAAATTGACGGCGCTATATAAGTACCTGAAATAAATGGTTTATTCAACGTGGAACTTCACTCCCCCATTTGCGTCCCACCCCTCCTCCCTCCCCTGTACAGCTGATTGTCCTACATGCCCAGTGAATCCAGCATTGTCTGGTGAAGCCCATCAGATCTTGTGCCGCCATCTTTGATACTGGAATCATCCGAGGGCTGGAAGTCTCTTCCTGGTTCCTGCACCCAGACCACTGATAACGTGGCCACTGGGGCAATGCCAGGCACACTGCGCATGTGCAAAGTCTCCTGGAATGTAGGTATCCCAGGAGGCTTTGGAAAGGGGGATACAACATTCTCATCCAGAGAAAAGCCAGGCGGGGGAATTTTTTGGGGAGGCGGGGGAATTTTTTGGGGAGGCGGGGGAATTTTTTGGGAGGCGGGAATTTTTTTGGGAGGCGGGGGGAATTTTTTTGGGAGGCGGGGGGAATTTTTTTGGGAGGCGGGGGGAATTTTTTTGGGAGGCGGGGGAATTTTTTTGGGAGGCGGGGGGAATTTTTTTGGGAGGCGGGGGGAATTTTTTTGGGGAGGCGGGGGGAATTTTTTTGGGAGGCGGGAATTTTATTTTTTTTTGCTATATCAAAAAAAGGGGAGGGGTAAAACTAAAGTAGTTAGAGGGCGGAGGTCCGCTTTAAGACTGAATTGCAGCTAAAAAGATATAAAATGTAATTTGTAAAAATAAAAAACCGCTTTCAATCCAGAGCTGATCCCCACAGCAATTGTTCTCTGCCACGACGTCACACCACTCATAACATACTAAAGTCTTGCAGTTTGTGTCAGACGTCACCATGAACCCACTTCCTATGAGCCCAGTTTGTCATGGACTTGCCCCTGGGGGTGCGCCATCTCACAGGCTTGGCGTCAGTGCTGAGTGTGGAGTGCCCCTCCATTGTCATCCCCAGATGAGGAGAGGATTGATAGGTCATTGAACCAGCCAGCAGACCCATGGAAGGAGATATATATCTGGGCAGAGATAATAGTTTAATGTATTTTGTGTCACGCCCCCCCCCCCCCCCCCCCACCCCAGTCTTTCCCCATATTGGCAATTTGCAGACTGCCAAATTCTTACTCGCGAAGTAGAGTAAGGACTGGCCGGGGAGGGGTCCCTTACGCGCCGGTGGCCGGGGAGGGGTCCCTTACGCGCCGGTGGCCGGGGAGGGGTCCCTTACGCGCCGGTGGCCAGAGGGGAGGGGTCCCTTACGCGCCGGTGCCCCGGAGGGGAGGGGTCCCTTACGCGCCGCTGCCCACGGAGGGGAGGGGTCCCTTACGCGCCGCTGCCCACGGAGGGGAGGGGTCCCTTACGCGCCGCTGCCCACGGAGGGGAGGGGTCCCTTACGCGCCGCTGCCCACGGAGGGGAGGGGTCCCTTACGCGCCGCTGCCCACGGAGGGGAGGGGTCCCTTACGCGCCGCTGCCCACGGAGGGGAGGGGTCCCTTACGCGCCGCTGCCACGGAGGGGAGGGGTCCCTTACGCGCCGCTGCCCACGGAGGGGAGGGGTCCCTTACGCGCCGCTGCCCACGGAGGGGAGGGGTCCCTTACGCGCCGCTGCCCACGGAGGGGAGGGGTCCCTTACGCGCCGCTGCCCACGGAGGGGAGGGGTCCCTTACGCGCCGCTGCCCACGGAGGGGAGGGGTCCCTTACGCGCCGCTGCCCACGGAGGGGAGGGGTCCCTTACGCGCCGCTGCCCACGGAGGGGGAGGGGTCCCTTACGCGCCGCTGCCCACGGAGGGCGAGGGGTCCCTTACGCGCCGCTGCCCACGGAGGGCGAGGGGTCCCTTACGCGCCGCTGCATATATACACTGGAGGGGACTATGGGTCCGTGTTTCCCTTACGCGTTTTTGCCCACGGGGGGGAGGGGTCCCTTACCGCTTTGCTGCCCACGGAGGGGAGGGGTCCCTTACGCGAAGACGCTGAGGGGAGGGGACCCTTACCGCCGCTGCCCACAGGAGGGGAGGGGTCCCTTACGCCCGCCGCAAGTCCCAGAGGGGAGGGGTCCCTTCCGCGCCGCTGCCCACGGAGGGGAGGGGTCCCTTACGCGCCGCTGCCACGGAGGGGAGGGGTACCTTACGCGCAGCGACCTGCCCACGGAGGGGAGGGGTCCCTTACGCGCCGCTGCCCACGGAGGGGAGGGGTCCCTTACACGCCGCTGCCCACGGACGGGGGAGGGGTCCCTTACGCGCCGCTGCCCACGGAGGGGAGGGGTCCCTATACGCGCCGCTGCCCAGAGGGGAGGGGGTCCCTTACGCGCCGCTGCCCACGGAGGGGAGGGGTCCCTTACGCGCCGCTGCCCACGGAGGGGAGGGGTCCCTTACGCGCCGCTGCCCACGGAGGGGAGGGGTCCCTTACGCGCCGCTGCCCACGGAGGGGAGGGGTCCCTTACGCGCCGCTGCCCACGGAGGGGAGGGGTCCCTTACGCGCCGCTTGCCCACGGAGGGGGGGGTCCCTTACGCGCCGCTGCCCACGGAGGGGAGGGGTCCCTTACGCGCCGCTGGATGATGCCCACGGAGGGGAGGGGTCCCTTACGGCCGCTGCCCACGTGAGGTGGGGGGGGTCCCTTACGCGCCGCTGCCACACGGAGGGGAGGGGTCTCTTACGCGCCGCTGCCCACGGAGGGGAGGGGTCCATTTGATGCAGTTGCCCAGCTTGAACATATATACACTGCAATTTGTGAACTATGGGTCCGTGTTTTTTTTTGTTTTTGAGGTGGGGGTGGTACATTAATGCAACCCTTTGCTATGACTATGGAATGGGTCCATATCTCGTATAGAGGACATGTAGGATATTACCCGATAGCCCAGACAGCTCCTCATCTTCAGGTCGGTGATCTGCATCCACACAGGCTGCCCGCCACAAGTCGCAGTAGTAGGAATGTACGGATTCCTGGTGCTGGGACTGACTGTGGGGATGGCGGCTGCCACTGAGCCTGTACTCTGTATCCACACACAGCGACCAATCCTAGCACCAAGAATCTGTAGACTCCTCCCACTGCGATTTACACCACGGCAACCACCAGCGAGGACGGAGGTGACTGCATTACTTGTGAATAGATTATTAAAGAATAATTATTATAATCTCATACAATATTCTTTAATATTGTAACCTTCCGGGGGGGGGGGGGGGTGTATTTTAGGGAGACATCTGTACTTTTTCTCATTCATTATTAAGTATTCAATCTACTTTCATTATTATAATTCATCTCCATTCTCGTTTGTTTTTGTTCCATCGCAGATTGCTTCCTCCGGCTGGGGAGGTGACGTTTATACCCCTGGCGGATTACCAGCAGGCGTTTGAGCTGGATGATGGAGATTGGGGTGTGAGGAGTCGTATAGCGATAGCTCCTGGATGATCTGGGGGTGGGGGCTCATCACGTGAGGTGGGTGGGGGTACATTATATACCCCATACAATCACACCACATACTGGGGGTGGGGGCTCATCACGTGAGGTGGGTGGTGGTACATTATATACCCGATACAATCACACCACATACTGGGGGTGGGGGCCCATCATGTGAGGTGGGTGGTGGTGGTGGTACATTATATACCCCATACAATCACACCACATACTGGGGGTGGGGGGGCCCATCACGTGAGGGTGGGTGGTGGTACATTATATACCCGATACAATCACACCACATACTGGGGGTGGGGGCTCATCACGTGAGGTGGGTGGTGGTACATTATATACCCCATACAATCACACCACATACTGGGGGTGGGGGCCCATCACGTGAGGTGGGTGGGGGTACATTATATACCCCATACAATCACACCACATACTGGGGGTGGGGGCTCATCACGTGAGGTGGGTGGGGGTACATTATATACCCCATACAATCACACCACATACTGGGGTGGGGGCTCATCACGTGAGGTGGGTGGGGGTACATTATATACCCCATACAATCACACCACATACTGGGGGTGGGGGCTCATCACGTGAGGTGGGTGGTGGTACATTATATACCCCATACAATCACACCACATACTGGGGGTGGGGGCTCATCACGTGAGGTGGGTGGGGGTACATTATATACCCCATACAATCAGCACCACATACTGGGGGTGGGGGCTCATCACGTGAGGTGGGTGGGGGTACATTATATACCCTATACAATCACACCACATACTGGGGGTGGGGGCTCATCACGTGAGGTGGGTGGGGGTACATTATATACCCCATACAATCACACCACATACTGGGGGTGGGGGCCCATCACGTGAGGTGGGTGGGGTGGTACATTATATACCCCTATACAATCACACCACATACTGGGGGTGGGGGCTCATCACGTGAGGTGGGTGGTGGTACATTATATACCCGATACAATCAGACCACATACTGGGGGTGGGGGCTCATCACGTGAGGTGGGTGGGGGTACATTTATATACCCGATACAATCACACCACATACTGGGGGTGGGGGCTCATCACGTGAGGTGGGTGGGGGTACATTATATACCCCATACAATCAGACCACATACTGGGGGTGGGGGCCCATCACGTGAGGTGGGTGGTGGTGGTACATTATATACCCGATACAATCACACCACATACTGGGGGTGGGGGCCCATCACGTGAGGTGGGTGGGGGTACATTATATACCCCATACAATCACACCACATACTGGGGGTGGGGGCTCATCACGTGAGGTGGGTGGTGGTACATTATATACCCGATACAATCACACCACATACTGGGGGTGGGGGCTCATCACGTGAGGTGGGTGGGGGTACATTATATACCCCATACAATCATAACCACATACTGGGGGTGGGGGCCCATCACGTGAGGTGGGTGGTGGTACATTATATACCCCATACAATCAGACCACATACTGGGGGTGGGGGCTCATCACGTGAGGTGGGTGGTGGTACATTATATACCCCATACAATCACACCACATACTGGGGGTGGGGGCTCATCACGTGAGGTGGGTGGGGGTACATTATATACCCCATACAATCACACCACATACTGGGGGTGGGGGCTCATCACGTGAGGTGGGTGGGGGTACATTATATACCCATACAATCACACCACATACTGGGGGTGGGGGCTCATCACGTGAGGTGGGTGGGGGTACATTATATTCCCCATACAATCACACCACATACTGGGGGTTGGGGGCCATCACATTGGGGGGATCGATGATCATGTGATCACTGTGATTGGCTGAAGAAGTGGGGGGGTGGGGCTAAGTTCCACTGTGTATGTCTATGGAGTGCAGCTCCAGACGCACAGGTCAGGAGCGAGCACGCAGCGCTTGTCCCCAAAGCAAACGGCTGCCTATGGGGACACGCAAAGAGGAGGAGCCAGGAACGCCAGAGGGGGACTGGAGAAGGAGGATCAGAGCTGCTCTGTGCATAACCATTACACAGAGCAGGGGAGTTTAACCCCTCACCTACCGGGCACTTATACCCCCTTCCTGCCCAGGCCAGCTTTCAGCGCTGTCACACTGAGTGACAATTGCGCGGTCATGCAACACTGTAGATGAAATTTTTATTCTTTTTTTTTCACATAAATAGATCTTCTTTTTTTGGTGGTCTGTACTCCCCACTGGGGGGTTTATTTTTTCAGCTATAAACAAAAAAAGTGCAAAATTTTATAATAGAAACAAAAGAAAAAACATTTTTTTCTTCAAAATTTTTGCTAACAGGTATTTTTTTTCTCCTTCACTGATGTGCGTTGATGAGGCTGCACTGACAGCTGCTGATGGGCACTGATGAGCCGGCACTGATGAACTGGCACTATGCAACGATGGGCACTGATAGGCGGCACTGACTGGTGACACTATGTAACAATGATGGGCACTGATAGGCAACAATGATGGGCACTGATAGGCAACAATGATGGGCAATGATGGCGGCACTGTAACAATGAGGCACTGACAACTGATGGTGGCACTGATAGGCAACAATGATGGGCACTGATAGGCGGCACTGATATGTAACAATGATGGGCACTGATGGGCCGGCGGCACTGACTGGTGGCACTGATATGCAACAATGATGGGCACTGATAGGCAGCACTGATGAGCTGGCACTATGCAACAATGATATGTGCAATGACTGATAGGCAGCACTGACTGGTGGCACTGATATGTAACAATGATGGGCACTGATAGGTGGCACTGATGGGCACTGATCATTGGGCTGGTTATTGGCAGTACAGTACGTTCCTCATGATGTGACAGTGTGAGGGAAGTGCTACCGATAACTGGCAACTGCATTTCCCGGTGATCTGCCGTGTCCACCATGACACCCTCCCAGGCCGGTCGCAGTGAACTCATCATCCGGCTATCTGCGGTCAGCAGGTGGATAACAGGTTTTGTTATTTTGATTTAAAAAAAAAAAAAAAAATTGCCTTTAGTAAACACTTGTTGATTCGGGCACTTCCTGTTATAGGGTGACAACACTCCACCCTCCCAATCATGCTCCTGTGTTGTCCTACAGGCTTCTGACTGGGAAGCTCCCATGTGGATTTTTCACACATCATCCACTGTTGTCACCATCAGGAAACCCGTCCTGAGAAATGCCAGGCAGCCATCACTGGAGTGTATGGAGACAGGAAGTGGCCGTTTCATTTCCGTGCCGCTGACCTGCTGCAAAGGATGAAAAAAGCTAAAAGGCATTTATTAAGAAATGGCAGTTGTTGATAATACATGATACTTTAAGAAACGGCAGTTGTGTATTATAAACAACTGCCATTTCTTAAAATATCATGTATTATAAACAACTGCCATTACTTAAAGAAATAGCAGTTGTTTATAATACATGATAATTTAAGAAACGGCAGTTGTTTATAATACACGATGCTTTAGCAAACAGACGATGAATTAAAATGTTCCAATGTGTTGTCAGGTAAATATGAAATCCTGCATAGTCACTTTCTATCCAACAGATGGAGCTCTGGGCTCCATTTTCAAGTTTTCTGGCTTTTTTTTTTTCCCTTCCCACGTTTCGCAGAAGGCCCGCTGTCTGCAGTCCTCAATAGCTGAAGCTGAGGTTTGCACACAAGTGAATGGCTTGGACCATATCCCTTACTGCACACCCCTGCCCGAGGCTTCAGTCAGAGCGAAGGAGCGGCTGCACCATTTTCTCTTTAGATAACCCATAATGCTCTGGGGATTCTCCGCCATTTATTGAATCTGTACGGAGAATATTGGATCAGAACCATTTTTAGTTTCCCTCTCAGGTCTCGGGTCACTCTCTGTGGTCTCTCCTCTGTAGGCAGTACCAGCAGGCTGAGCATCACTTCTCAGAAGCCATCAAGAAGAACCCGCTCCTGCCTGAGCCGTATCTCCACCGCGCGCAACTCAGGCGTCAGCTGCAGAACAACACGGACTGGCAGGAGGACGCCGTCACCTCCATCCTGCTGAACCCGAAAAGTGAGGAGGTACGTTACCCACACCGGACCCGGCCCTCCACCCGTCTCCTATCAATGCATGACATGGACCCTCACTGACCGCATGCTTGTTTCAGGGCACCAGCTCACTAGGCAGTAAAGACAGGATTAGCTTGACACCCGAAAAGCTGAACCTTTACCCCCCCCCCCCCCCCCCCACCCTTCCTGTCCAGGCCATCTTTTGTGATACGGCGTTACTTTACTGTAAGTGACAATTGCACTGTCATGCAATGCTGCACCCCCCCCCCCCCCAAATGTCAGGACGGCACAAATATCCCCCCCCCCACGTGTGTCAGGACGGTACACATCCCCCCCCCCCCACGTGTGTCAGGACGGTACACATCCCCCCCCCCCACGTGTGTCAGGACGGTACACATCCCCCCCCCCCCCCACGTGTGTCAGGACGGTACACACATCCCCCCCCCCCCCACAAGTGTCAGGACGGTACACATCCCCCCCCCCCCCCACGTGTGTCAGGACGGTACACATCCCCCCCCCCCCCCCCACAAGTGTCAGGACGGTAGACATCCCCCCCCACAAGTGTCAGGACGGTAGACATCCCCCCCCACAAGTGTCAGGACGGTAGACATCCCCCCCCACAAGTGTCAGGACGGTAGACATCCCCCCCCACAAGTGTCAGGACGGTAGACATCCCCCCCCACAAGTGTGTCAGGACGGTAGACATCCCCCCCCACAAGTGTGTCAGGACGGTAGACATCCCCCCCCACAAGTGTCCAGGACGGTAGACATCCCCCCCCACAAGTTGTCAGGACGGTAGACATCCCCCCCCACAAGTGTCAGGACGGTAGACATCCCCCCCCACAAGTGTCAGGACGGTAGACATCCCCCCCCCACAAGTGTCAGGACGGTAGACAACCCCCCCCCCCCCACAAGTGTCAGGACGGTAGACAATCCCCCCCCCCCCCCCCCCCCCCCCCACACGTGTCAGGACGGTAGACATTTCCCCCCCCCCCCCCCCCCACACGTGTCAGGACGTAGTAGACCATCCCCCCCCCCCCCCCCCCCACACGTGTCAGGACGGTAGACATCACCCCCCCCCCCCCCCCCCCCCCCCCCACACACGTGTCAGGACGGTACACACCCCCCCCCCACACACACACACGTGTCAGGACGGTAGACATCTCCCCCCCCCCCCACACACGTGTCAGGACGGTACACACCCCCCCCCACACACACACACACGTGTCAGGACGGTACACTTCCCCCCCAAGTGTCAGGACGGTACAAAAAACACCCCCCCCCCCCCCCCCCCCCCCCCCCCCAAGTGTCAGGACGGTACACATCTCAATGTCAGGACGTACCCACCCCCCCCCCCCGTCACCGGCTGCTCTGTATTCACACGGATTTGTGTCCTCACAGGTGTCACCCACCGTAATGAACTTCTTCCCCGGGAATTCTCTGGAGGAGGTTCTGAACAGCACACTGGCCACCAGAGCTGACTATCTACTGAAGAGGAGCCTGAATAATCTGCCCAATAATGGGAGGGGAACATGGGAGCCGCCCCCTTCAGGGAACGTCGCTCCACCCAATCAGAGCTGAACTAGGAGGAGTCTAAAGCAGCCTCATAGCGGCCTGCAGAGGGAGACAGGGCAGGACTGTCATCACCCTCCATGGGGTATATATGGGATGGGATGGGAGGGGGGGGGGGGACAGTGTGTACGTTTCTTGGACCCCTTTTTCTTGAACTCCATGTAGATGAGATTCCCCCCCCCCCCCTCCCCACCCTGGGATTTTACAATGAAATTTCTTTTTGTGCAGCAGTACAGGAAGCTCAGTCTTGCTATACAAGGACTTTATATTGCTTGCTTCATATTTACATTGGTGGGGAAGTGCTGAGCTATGTGAAGCCAGAGATCTCTGTATATGAAGGGGGTGGGGGGAGAGCGATGCTTCAAGTTGGAGATTTAGCTGCATGGTGTCACCCTTGTGTGTCCCCGGAATGCCATCTCCCCCCCCATTGGCCAGGACTAAGGTGAAGGGTGTCACATCGGCAGTCGGGGAAAATACGACGGAGCCTTGTCCTGCGGAGATGACGCTGGTACAGATGATTTGTACATACAAATAAAAGATTCTGTGTTCTGACAAACCGGCTCTGTGTGCGTCCTTTACCGTCCAATCAGATTCACTTCCAGAAGTTCACCTTTTAAACCAAAAAATAATAATAATAAATGCAGTTTGTATGACAAGTAAAAATCTGTGCGATTTACTTCTAGTTCTGGGAGCCGGAAACGCATCGCAGGAACGATCAGCAGATCTCCGGCAGACCTGTGTGTGTGTCAGTCCGCTGGAACCTCGTACAGGAGGGCAGACACTGGGAGGAGCCATCAACTGCCACTGAGCCCAGCCCCTGGAATGTGTCGGCTCTCCTGGAACCATTCCATCGTCATATAGAATATCACCAGAGGGAACATTCTATTGGACGCAGGCCTATGCCCATCCGACAACCACCCCCCCCCCATCTGACACCCCCCCAGGTGTGAGCGCACTCATACTCCTATTGTCTCACCTTATATACAGCACCACAGTGGGCACTGTGATATCTCTGTCAGAGGGGGTAATAGTGCCCCATCATTGGTGTCAGTGGGGGGAATAGTGCCCCATCATTGGTGTCAGTGGGAGGAATAGTGTCCCATCATTGGTGTCAGTGGGAGGAATAGTGTCCCATCATTGGTGTCAGTGGGGGGAATAGTGCCCCATCATTGGTGTCAGTGGGAGGAATAGTGCCCCATCATTGGTGTCAGTGGGAGGAATAGTGTCCCATCATTGGTATCATCGTGGGAGGAATAGTGTCCCATCATTGGTGTCAGTGGGAGGAATAGTGTCCCATCATTGGTATCAGTGGGAGGAATATATTGGTGTCCCATCATTGGTATCAGAGGGGGTAATAGTGCCCCCATCATTGGTATCAGAGGGGGTAATAGTGCCCCATCATTGGTGTCAGTGGGAGGAATAGTGCTCCATCATTTCAGTGGTGTCAGTGGGAGGAATAGTGCCCCATCATTGGTATCAGTGGGAGGAATAGTGCCCCATCATTGGTATCAGAGGGGGTAATAGTGCCCCATCATTGGTATCAGAGGGGGTAATAGTGCCCCATCATTGGTGTCAGTGGGGGAATAGTGCTCCATCATTGGTGTCAGTGGGAGGAATAGTGCCCCATCATTGGTATCAGTGGGAGGAATAGTGCCCCCATCATTGGTATCAGAGGGGGTAATAGTGCCCCATCATTGGTATCAGAGGGGGTAATAGTGCCCCATCATTGGTATCAGAGGGGGTAATAGTGCCCCATCATTGGTATCAGAGGGGGTAATAGTGCCCCATCATTGGTATCAGAGGGGGTAATAGTGCCCCATCATTGGTGTCAGGGGGAGGAATAGTGCCCCATCATTGGTGTCGGGGAGGAATAGTGCCCCATCATTGGTGTCGGGGAGGAATAGTGCCCCCCCATCATTGGTGTCAGGGGGAGGAATAGTGCCCCATCATTGGTGTCAGTGGGAGGAATAGTGCCCCCCCATCATCATTGGTGTCAGTGGGAGGAATAGTGCCCCCCCATCATTGGTGTCAGTGGGAGGACTAGTGCCCCCCCCCCATCATTGGTGTCAGAGGGAGGAATAGTGCCCCCCCCCCCAATCATTGGTGTCAGTGGGAGGAATAGTGCCCCCCCATCATTGGTGTCAGTGGGAGGACTAGTGCCCCCCCCCCCCCCCCCACCCATCATTGGTGTCAGTTGGAGGAATAGTGTCCCACCAATGTGAGGGGGGTGTGGGGGGGGGGTTGGTTGGAGGATCCTGACCACCAATGTAATGAGGGGGGAGGGAGGGTCCTGACTACCAATGTAAGGGGGGGAGGATCCTGACCACCAATGTAAAGGGGGGGGATTCTGATTGCCAGGGGAAGTCTGACCACCAATGTAAGGGGGGGAAAGCCTCATTGGTGTCAGTGGGAAGACTAGTGCCCCCCTCCCCCCATCATTGGTGTCAGCGGGGGAGGAAAAGTGCCCCCATCATTGGTGTCAGTTGGAGGAATAGTGTCCCACCAATATGGGGGAAGGGGGGGGGGGGTTGGAGGATCCTGACCACCAATGTAATGAGGGGGGGGGGGGGAGAGGTGCCTGACTACCAATGTAATGGGAGGGGGGGGGGACGGACAGGATCCTGACTACCAATGTAAGGGGGGGGGGGGATTCTGATCACCAGTGTGGGGGGGGGGGGGGGGGGGGGGTATCTGACTACCAATGTGGAGGGGGGGGGGGATTTAGACTACCTAGGAGGGATTCTGACTACCAATGTAAGGGGGGGATTTAGACTACCTAGGAGGGGGGGAGGATTCTGACCACCAATGTAAGGGGGGGGGGGGGGGGATTTTTACCACTAACCCCCCCGCCCCAATGTACTGGTCATGGCCGGAGTTCCCCGATATTTGGGTATAAAGACCAATAAATATTGAAATAAAAGAAATAGAAAACATATAAAGCCATCCATAGGAACTCTGCAGCCTAATACACCTTCAGCGCCATCTACTGGCCACACCAGATCCTGCGCCCTCATCCTTCCCATCCTACAACTATTCCTCTCGCATCCTTTTGCATTTTTTTTATGTGTAAAAAAAGTCATTTTAGGCCTGAAAATTACATAAACCCCCAAAACATTTTCTGAAATCAGACACCCCAGAGAATACAATAGCGGTAGTTGCAATATTTTATGTCACGTGATATTAACGCAAAGGTCTAGGAAATGGAAAATTCCAGTAAACACACTGAAGCGACTTTTAGGGCAAACAAACGCAATAAGTGACCCAAATGTTCGGTGAAATAAAAAAAGATGTGTTTGTGCCGAGTATATAGATACCCGACGTGTCAAACTGGAAATTTGTGTGCACCTGAGAAATGGCGACACACTTCAAGGGGGAGGGGGGGGGGTTTATGGGTTTGAATGAACTTTTTTTTTTTCTTTTCAACTTCACTTTTTTTTTTTTTCTTTTCAACTTCACTTTTTTTTTTTTCTTTTCAACTTCACTTTTTTTTTTTTTTTTTTTTTTTTCTTTTCAACTTCACTTTTTTTTTTTTTTCTTTTCAACTTCACTTTTTTTTTTTCTTTTCAACTTCACTTTTTTTTTTTTTCTTTTCAACTTCACTTTTTTTTTTTTCTTTTCAACTTCACTTTTTTTTTTTCTTTTCAATTCACTTTTTTTTTTTTTTTCAACTTCACTTTTTTTTTTTCTTTTCAACTTCACTTTTTTTTTTCTTTTCAACTTCACTTTTTTTTTTTCGCCACACGGGATGAAAGGTCACCGATGTGATGATTTTTTTTGGGGGGACAGGTTCTCTTTAATAAGACATCAGGGGTGAAACTAAGCATGAGAAGGTGAAGTGTGGCAGTGGGTAAGAGATTGGTGGGGGGTAAGAGACGGGTGGGAGAAGAGATGGGTATGGAGGGGGTGGGGGGTGAGAGACGGGTGGGGGGGGTAAGAGACGGGGGGGGGGGGGGGGGGAGGGGGGGGAGAGATGGGTGGGAGTAAGAGACGGGTATGGAGGGGGTGATGGTAAGAGACGGGTGGGAGAGATGGGTGGGGGGTAAGAGACGGGTGGGAGAGATGGGTGGGGGGTAAGAGACGGGAGGGGGGGGAGAGATGGTGTGAACAAAGCACATCCCTCTATAGTGTGTCCTTGTGTCACTCCAGAGCACTAAGTGTCATTTCTGTCTGCTGCCTCCTTCCTCTGCTATCAGAGTGAATCCCTTCTGATGAGTTTTACTGACACCAAGAGAAACATGGTGACAGGGGAGGGACCTCCAGCTGATTGACAGCCTCGGCTCTGTTCCTGTGAAGAGGGGGAGTGTCTCTTCCCTCCAATCAGCTCTCACTGAGTTCTGCAGAATGTAATTTCAGCTCCCCGCCCCGTTTTTTTTTTTTTTTTTGGAAAAATCAGACAAGCTTTATAAATCCTGGACTATGAACAGCTGTAGAGAAGAGAGGACTGCAGATAAACATGTACAACTTCTGCAGGAGGATTTTTTTCACCTCTCTATAGTAGCTGAGGCCGGTCACCTCACTGAGTATATGGAAGGATTACAGCCACTTTAAGGCCCCTTTTAGGTGGGGGCGGACCTGTCAGGGGACCCGATCTCTCCGCTGATCCCCGCTGAGCTGGCAGATGACAGATCTGAGTCCGCTCCGCTGCTGCAGAGAGGACACAGTCACAGCCCGCTGGCTTCTATGGGGAAGTCGGATGGAAATGGACCGCCTGTCCTGTTTCCATCCAGCTGCCGTTCGATCCACCAGACGGATGGGGAACGGACCCTCATCTGTCTGTTTTGGTGGATCGGATCACATGCTGGCGGGTGTCAGTGGACACTAGTCCGCTGGCACCCGCCGGTCCATAGAGGTCTATGGATGGCCCCCCGAGCCCCCATCGTGGTCCAGTGCTGTACCCAAGAGCAGCGGCTCTGTTCCTCCTCATAGGGCAGCCATCAATCAAACTCTGTGATGTGGGGGCGGGGCTGAGCACCACTGCCTGTGTCTATAGACGCAGACAGCAGTGGCTC